ACCCCTGATTATTTAGGGACTAAGAAAAATGAATGAAAGAGTTTAAATTGTGAGTTATTTAGAACTCAGAAACTTGAACTGTGAGAAGTTCTTTAAAACTCAATCAATGAAGTTGCAATTCAAAAGAAAAAAAAAAGTACAAATTTTCAAAGAAAGTCAGACTTTTGAAATTTAAACCTACAATTTTAGGAAATAAGCTCAATATTCAGGCCTTTTTATCTAAATTCCAATTTACATCTCAGAAAATTCAGACACAAGAAAAAAGTAAGAAATTATTTTATCATTATTATTACTGTGATCCTGTGGCAAAATGATGTTCCATAAATTAGGTCACCGCGTGATATTTCACTACTTAGGTAGTTAAACAAAAGCCAGTCTAAAATTACAGCTTTGGTTTACCACTATTTAGGGACACCATTTAAAGGAAACATGACCAGTTTGTATGTTTATATAATCAGCTACACAACTAATTATATAATCATAATCATCAACTCAAGCGAGTGGCATCAAGGTCAAAGTTTTCCCCCTTTTATTGAATTATTCAAAACTACAGGTGAAGTTTAGAGGAAGGAATTGTTAAAGTGTGTTTTTGCTCCCCTCACAATCTGACTAGAGTTATTACATGGATGTCCTGTTCCGGAATTTGCTTTTTTTGTCCTTTGTGTATGTTGTGTTTATACCCTCTCCACTTTCCACTCTGTTTAGCACAAAACCAACTAAATTATTCAGCACTAACCTGATCATACATGATTTAACAGGATACTCCCTTATTTACAGTCGTCTAGATTAAGCATACTGTTTCCGTCTTTTGAGCATGCTTCAAAAGGCTTCAGTCAAGTGTTCTTCTGGAAATGTTCCTCTTCAAATGACCTTCTTCCACAGACTGATATTGATTGAGCTGAGATTTAGCTACAGTGTCTGGACTTTGATGTCTGCTGGGCTCAGGGCTTAGTTAAGACAATTTTGTCTAAAAGGGAATGTTCGTTTTCATGGAAATATATTTATTGTTTATGTGGTTTTACATTTTGCACGTTCATAATTCCAGATTAATTCAAACACATTTTTCTGTGGATTATAAAAGTTTCATAAAAAACAATTGCACTCAAATAAGATGCAGGTATCATTTGATTAAACATGAGAAACTTAAAACTTTTTTTTGTGATCCCATTCCATGTTTGTCAAGATCACCAGCGATCTAGTCTTTATAGACTAGATTACGAAGACTCAAACTACATTTCTGCCGCTGAACTGCACTACAGTTCCCATCAGGCACCTTCCACACACACCAGTTCCAGATCACTAATGATTACACAGAAATAGCTGAAGCTTGTAAGAACTAATGGCCAGGACTACACTCAATAGACACTTTATTAAGTACACCTTACTAGTTCCAGGTTGGACCCCCTTTTCCCTTCAGAACTGGCTTAATAATTTGTGGCATAGATTCAACAAGGCCCTATTAATTTAATATTAAATCGTAATACTATTTAATATTCCTCAGAGATTTTGGTCCATATTGACATGATAGACAGATTTGTCAGCTGCACATTGATGATGCGAATCTCCCGTTCTGCCGCTCACTGGAGCACTCTTTCTCTTTTTCGGACCATCCTCTATAAACCCTACAGATGGTTGTGCATAAAAATACCAGTAGATCAGCAGTTTCTGAAATACTTAGACCAGCCTGTCTGGCAAAGACAACCATACCACATTCAAAGTCACTCAAATCCCCTGTTAAATTGAAGCAGATCATCTTGACCATGTCTACATGCCTAAATGCATTGAATTGTTGGCATGTTATTGGCTGATTAGAAATTTGCATGGTTCAAGAAACCCTTGAGTACTTTTTTTGAGATTTTAACAGATTTGTGTATGTTGAGTAAGACAATTTTAGCACCTGTCAGCTTTAATTGTGGGGTAAACTGGATAATTTTGAGCTTTTGTCAGCTAATTTCAGCTTCTGGGTTTAAAATGATTTTTGGGGCGGGTTTAAAATTATTTTTTGGGCGGGATCAAAACCGCTGACGTAACGCAAAACTGCAAGTGCAAAGATGACACGTCAGTTTCTCATTATTATTCATAAGGAAGTTTTGTTATCCTATGAGAAGAGCCGGCTTCTTAATTATTCATGACTGCGTGTGCTTTCCCAAGGCAAGACACAGACCATTGCCAAGCTGTGAGACCCTATGTTGATGACTGGGAGACCGTGTCCACGGACCCATGGCACACAGTATTTAGCCGTTTGTGTATGTGTTTGTTTCCATGATCCACAGATTTGTTGCATGTTTTTCCCCGGGATCCTGTCAGGGCCGATACAGCAAAGCTGTTTGTGTGCAGCAAGCATTTTGTTGGGAGAACAGTATGAGTATGGCGGAGAATTGCGGACTTTGTCCTTTATCAGTGGAGTTTGTTCACATTTAGACACATCGCCGTCCTGCTGTGTTCACATAAATCCTCCAGATTACCAGCAGGGCTAATGGTTGAGCAGGGCAAGAGACCTGCTGCACTCTGCATTCAGACCCGGGGATTGAGGGAGAAGTCCTCATTTATAGTGTTTATATGAACACAATTATCTTTATAATGATATAAATTGTGGTTATGTGTATATGAAATTACAAATGACAAATGTAGCAGACAACATGTAGCAGACAACAGACAACAGTTCGCTCCCCTCCTTCTCCCCTGCTCTGCTGGCCTCCTGCTTCTGATCGTGGAGCTCCACGCCCATTATGATGCATTTTTCCAAAAAATTCTGTGTTAGACTTGAACCGAAAGTGGCAGGTGTCATGGCCCTTTAACGAGCAGTTGGACAGGTGTACCTAATAAAGTGGCTGGTGAGTGTATATATACAGTACACCTTTGTTGTTGTCTGCTGTAACATTACAAGGGTTCTCCTTGTTTAGTCTTCCCTTGCCTTGTTTACCTGTTTATGTTTTTTGCCGCCTGTATTGACCTTTTTGCCTATGACCACGAGTACGCTTCTGAATTACCCACATGGATTCTCAACTCCTTTGTCCCGCGTCCCTCCGTTACAGTATGATTACGTGTTCCACATATTTCATTTTAAGTCATGTGAAGCTAATGTTTTCTTGTAAGGCAATTAAACAGCAATTAGTCCATTATACTTTACATCATCTAGCAGCAGTCTTTTTACAAAGTAACATCAACTAATTGATAGCATGCATACTATATTTTATTAAATAATCAGGAAATGCTGAAGGGGTTTTAAGGCCCCCTTGCTATTTTTACCCTAGACCCCCCCAGGACGCCATATCCCAGTTATCTTGTTTTACATGATACTATATCTATTAACAGGTGTTTTCTGTTTATTTATACACTAAGTTAAGCTTTACTGTCATTCTACTACATTTGTGGATATACAGTGGAACACCAAAGATGTGTCTCACAGGACCACAGTGCTACATAAATTAGCATAATCATGAACATGAAAACAACACTGGACGTAAGAGATATTTTAAACCTATTCATAATGACATAATGGAGCGGTAGTCTAACTATCTTAACTTAAAACTATGCACATATACATAATGAACTATGCACTTAACCTAAGACAGACTATACAAGTACTTCTTCGTAAGACAGAACAATATTGTGCAGGATATTGTGGTAAAAAGGTATTTAAGTTGAATAAAACAAGTAGTGCAATATGATTTGTAATACATTCACAAGAACATTCATTCACTCATTTTCCTTCAGCTTTGTCCCTGATTATCAGGGGTCACCACAGCGGAATGAACCGCCAGCTATTTCACCACATGCTTTATGCAAACCGCAACCCAGTACTTAGAAACACCCACACTCTCCCATTCACACACACTCATACACTACGGCCAATTTAGTTAATCTAATTCACCTAAAGCGCCCGTTTTTGGATTGTGGGGGAAATCGGAGCACCTGAAGGAAACCAACACAGAGAAAACATGCAACCTTTACACAGAAATGCCAACTGGCCTAGCTGGGACTCAAACCAGCGTTCTTCTTGCTGTAAGGTGACATGCTAACCACTGAGCCACCGAGCCGCTCACAAGTAAAAAGTTTTTTTTATTGAGCCCTGTCAAATGGAGTTTAAGTAAAGCATCTCTCGTACAGAGAGAGTGTTTTGATGGGTGGTTTATCAGGCCCACTCACCTGTGTGAAGTACACTCAGAAATGCACAATGGTTTAATGTAGATATGGAGTGATTTTAAGAAAGTGAATGTTTACAGATATGCATTGCATTTTGGGAACTTTTGATGTGGAAAATTCAACTGTGCAATTTAACAAAGTGACATTTATTGAAATTTTAGTGGTTTGAAATAATGTATTGTATAATAAATAATAACTGCTGAGTGTAGTATTGGTAACCTAGTAAGCAACATTAAACAATGCAAGCATAATGTAGACAGCTGATTGGTCACAAGGTTATAATGTTTACTAAGGCAGTTTTTACTAGGCAAATGTGTTTCTATCTCCTATTATTAGCAAGCAAGCATAATTTAAAGGATTTTTATTTAGGGTAACTCATTTCTCACGCGATAAAATGCACATTAACACAGGGTGATAGAAACCCAGCGAGAAAATGTAAAAATATAAAGTTGAAAAAATGTTTACGAATTTGTTTATTAATTATAAAACATTTAGCTATTCAAACACTAAATTTACATTTCTAATAGTAAAATAGTAAAATAACAGCTTGTATACCCCAATACTTTTAGATTTTTTATTTTTTTTACTGTATGTAAAGACAGAAGTCCGCAAATGTTCACTTGTGATAAAAAAAACAAGTCACCAATCTTTACGTCATCAGAATCACTCAATATATTTAGGAGTTAATGCAGGCTTTTTATCTTTAATACAGTTTTATTCCAGAGGATTTATTAAGGCCACGTAAAGTGTAAACAAACACAGACTGCAGGTTCAAGAGCTTTGGAGCCATCTGGTTATTAATTCTTTTCGAGCTGTCAGATTTCACTACTCTCCTCTTTGTTTTGATCCTGAAGGGAGCAGCTGGAGGCACGCAGGTCTGAAAGAATGGCCTGCTCTAGATCGGGCTGGACAAGGGCCCAGCTCTAAGATGACTGGCCCCTGGTACCTGTCTCAGTGATGAAGAGCACCTCCACCATCTTCCTCCTCACTCTGGCTGTCTTGTGCAGAGCTGAGGTACACTATTGAGTTACACATTTAAGATGCACATTTGAAAGCCGATATTTGGAAAGAGCTGCTCATGCATTTCTGTACTTTAAATGGTATATTTACGATTAGTGCTGAAATTGTACAATAAGTGTATTTTTGTTAGTATTAGTTGAGTAAGCATGGCATAATAATGAAAGATATTATACACTGAAAAATATTAACATGTAGAAAGAATTTTCATTCAGAAACGGCTAACAAATCCATCTATAGATGTGTTTCTCAACCATGTTCCTGGAGGCCCACCAACACTGTATGTTTTGGATGTCTCATTTCACCCATTACAAGTCTCTGCTAAAGAGATGATGATCTGAATCAGGTGTGTTTGGTTAAGGAGACAGGAAAAATGTGCAGGGCTGGTCGTCCTCCAGGAACGTGGTTAAGAAACACGGACCTACAGTATAGGATACCTCGCTCTCTTATGACCTTTGTTAGAAACACTTCTATGTTTCTGTTTGTACAGATAGCTGTTTTATATACTTTGTACTTTTTTCTACAGCCACAAACTATAAATATTTCTATTGCATGACTTCAATTTCTACATAATTCATTAATTAATTCATTTTCCTTCAGCTTAGTCCCTTATTCCGCCACAGTAAAATGAACCGCCAACTATTTCATCATATGTCTTTTATGCAGCGGATGCCCTTTCATTTCCACATTATTTAGATTCATACTGTTATTATTATTAACTTTGCTACTGTTGTTACTATTTTAAGGTCACAAGTTTTGTTAGCATTTTTACTGCATTTTATACTGTGTATGACTCTGTATATGACAATTAAAAATGTTGAATTGAGTTTAAATTTCAATTCATAATTGAATATAAGGAAATGGCAAGTGACAATGTAGTAAAATTGACAAGTAAATACTCTCTCAAGTAAGTCTCTCAGGTAAAGAGACTGAACATTACTCCTGTTTAATTAAGACTAATGAATACATAATTTTATAATTCTTCACACATTTGAATGATTTAGGAATTGATATTAAAATTAGTCAAATAGCTTTTTCTTTTAGTAAAGTTTACCGTTTACATGATAAATGTAAGAATGTCAAAATTCATATTCATGTGAACATTCATTTAATATTGCATTCAGCAGTATTGTCAAATATTGTCTTTCTTTTTATAAATACCAAATTTAGGTCAATAACTTTTAAAACGCAGATTTAAGTTTTATCGTGCTTTGTGCTATATTTGTAACTCAAAATCATCAGTGTCTATTCACTGTAATTTTGTAGCAACACGCAAGGAAAGATGTCATTGTTTCTTGAGTTTTTTGGGAGGATAACTTGTTTGTTTAATGCTCAATCTATTTAAATGTTAGAGAGTGAGTGGGAAGACGGTGAAGGACACAGTGCAGGAATGGAACAGGTATCGGAGCGAGTGCATCTTGAAGATAAGCTCACAACCAACCCCCTCCGGTAAGACTTTCCCTCATCCCATCTGTGTGTGTGTGTGTGTGTGTGTGTGTGTGTGTGTGTGTGTGTGTGTGTGTGTGTGTGTGTGTGTGTGTGTGTGTGTGTGTGTACATCAAAACTGCAAAACAGCTAGTTGAGATTTACTTAAAGAGCAGTAAACACGTTGGAGAGAAACATTTCACTAACCACTCTAAATGCTGTTTATCTTATTTGCAGTATAAATCTCAGGAGTGTCAGTAAGGATAATTCTAGCTACTAATATGAACAATTTAATGTTTAGATGTACATTTTTCATGTGTGATATGAGCTCTGACAGGATGAGATGTGGAGATAATTAACCTGTCTGAATGAACGTTGTCATCACATTAACTCTATTTTCTCCATTAGGTTTGTTTTGCAAAAGCATGTTTGATATGTACGCTTGTTGGACAGATGGAGTTCCCAACACAACAGTGAAAGTGCCCTGCCCCTGGTATCTGCCCTGGCATGATCAAGGTATTGCTGCCAACAATAGTGCCAGATGGCATATACAGTAAATACAGTATATATTTGCATCTATCTATCTATCTATCTATCTATCTATCTATCTATCTATCTATCTATCTATCTATCTATCTATCTATCTATCTATCTATCTATCTATCTATCTATCTTTCTATCTACCTACCTACCTACCTACCTACCTACCTACCTACCTACCTACCTACCTACCTACCTACCTATCTATCTATCTATCTATCTATCTATCTATCTATCTATCTATCTATCTATCTATCTATCTATCTATCTATCTATCTATCTATCTATCTATCTATCTATCTATCTATCTATCTATCTATCTATCTATCTATCTATCTATCTATCTATCTATCTATCAGGCAGGCAGGCAGGCAGGCAGGCTGTCTGTCTGTCTGTCTATCTATCTATCAGCCAGGCAGGCAGGCAGGCAGACAGACAGACAGGCAGGCAGGCAGGCAGGCAGGCAGGCAGGCAGGCAGGCAGGCAGACAGACAGACAGACAGACAGACAGACAGACAGACAGACAGACAGACAGACAGACAGACAGACAGACAGACAGACAGACAGACAGACAGACAGACAGACAGATAGATAGATAGATAGATAGATAGATAGATAGATAGATAGATAGATAGATAGATAGATAGATAGATAGATAGATAGATAGATAGATAGATAGATAGATAGATAGGTTGCACAATAAATTGCTTCACCGTTGAAGATGAAATTTGGACATTTGTAATTTTAGATTAATCATAATAGAATCAAAGTGTACCATTTGCTCATGTTTTGAGGTCTTGAAATTTAAAGCACAATAAATTACAGATTTTGTAACTTTAACAAAGACTATCTGTATTTAATTTATGCAGTAAAGGGTTAATTATTCAATTTATGTTCCTGAATACTATTATACTAACCAGAAAAATAAAAAGCACCATTTGTTAATTTTTTTAATTTTGTGCAGCCCTACTCTACTACTACTACTTTGAATGCAGGTACTTGAAGATCTGTTCTGTGTTACTGTCCTCTGTAGTTCGTAATGGGTTTGTGTCGCGGGAATGTGGTCCAGATGGCCAGTGGCTCACTGTCAACCACAGCAGCACATGGAGAGACCACTCACAGTGCAATGCAGATGGCAGACAGCAGATAGCACAGGTACAGAGACCCCAAACTCAGCATTAAAAGGTGTCACATGCTGTCACATTTCGTTGTTTTAGCTGATATATGTTTATGTAAATATTTTTGCTGTTTGTTCAAACTACTTGTTTTTCTGAAGTTAGCTTAATTTATTTGTGTTGGGACAACATTGATGAATTGTGTAAGATGTCCACATTAAGAAATATGTTTTACTCATCAAGGCTGATGAGTAAAAATAGGCTATTTTATCCCATTAAACAGTAAAAAAATAAATCTAATTTTAAATAACTGTTTTCTATGTCAATATACACACACCGGCCACTTTGTTAGGTACACCTTACTAGTTTCAGGTTGGACCCCCTTTTGCCTTCAGAACTGCCTTAATCCTTCGTGGCATGGATTTAACAAGGTACTGGAAATATTCCTCAAAGATTTTGGTCTATATTTTGGATAGCATCATGCAGTTATTGCAAAATCCATAATCCATGATACGAATCTCCCATCCCACCACATCCCAAAGGTGCTCTATTGGATTGAGATCTGGTAACTGTGGGGGCCATGATGATTCATGCTTTATGACATGGTGCATTATCCTGCTCGAAGTAACTATCAGAATGTGCGTGAGAATCCCAGTAAATCAGCAGTTTCTCAAATTCTCAGACCAGCCCATCTGACACCAACAACCATACCACATTCAAAGTCACTTAAGTCCCTTGTCTTCTCCATTCTGATGCTCATCTTGACATTGTCTACATGCCTAAATGCATTGAGTTGCTGCCATGTGATTGGCTGATTAGAAATTTGCGTTAATAAGCAATTAGACAGGTGAACCTAATAAAGTGTATTTTATTCATGTAATTTATTTAAAATCTTTAGCATCATTGTTTTATTCTTATATGACCTCTCAAGAAACATTTCTCATTATCATCAGTGCTGAACAATGTTCTGATGCTCATTGTCATCCATGTTTTTCAGCATTTTTTAATGAACTGAAAGTTTAAAGAATTTTTTTATTTCATTTTTTTCTGAATAAAAACATTAATAATACATTTTTATTTTGCTCCCCGCTAACATTTGAACAATATGAAGTAACGTGGCTTCCCTAATATGTGCTTTATATTAACACATTATCTTTGTTTTAGGTTTAAATGTAATTTCCAATTACAATTGAACTTTATTCACATCAAAATTCCAACTAACGAAAGGAGTTTAATTTTATTTTATACACTTAATACTTATCCTCACATTGGTATTAAAATGAATTTTGAGTCCAACTGAAAGAAACCAAAACAGCAAAAAACTGTGTAATAGTGACGCATGGGCAATTGCCGTAAAATATGAAACTGGCTCTACGAATTTTTATGCAGTTCTGTAATTTCATGAAGCAAAGCACTTGGAAATGCGCCACACTAGTGTCATTTGCAAAGCGCTGAACTCATTTCTTACCGCGGTGCAGCAGACTTTATCTCCTACTCACAGAGTTATAGGCTATTACTCGCTATAGTGATCCATGAATATAAAGATGTCGTTGCTCTTAGCCTGAGGCGGCTTTTCAATGGCTGTCAGCAGAGCAGAGTTAGACAAATGTCTGCAAGTCTGCGAGAATGAATTACTCAGTGCTCTAAAGCTTTGTCTTCATGTCCCACACGAGACGTCTGATGAGGTTCAGAGTCACATGATTTGATATGACTCATGTCAGTTCAGTGCCGTTCTCTCGCCTGCCTTTTACAGGAGAATCAGATGATGGTCTTGGCCTACTTCAGGGTGATGTACACAGTTGGCTACTCTTTGTCCCTGGCCAGCCTGTCTTTAGCACTCATCATACTTCTCATATTTAGGTAAGTAAGTGCTTTCTTTCATCAAGACATAGGGCTGGAAGATATGACAAAAATGTCTTGATAAGTGACCCTGGAGTTCAATAAAAAACAATCATAAGGGTCACTTTATTTAAAACTGAGATTTATACGTCATTTGAAGCCATCTGAAAGAATAAATAAGCTTTCATGTGATGTGTGGTTTGTTAGGAAAGACAATATTTGATTAAGAAACACTCCAAAAATGGCTGTTGCTGCTTGTTCAAATTACTTATTTAAAATGAGTCGAAACAAGTTTTTGGCGAGGACACTTGGTTTATTTTCAATCCACTTAAATTTGTAAAAACTATTAAGCTAAATTAATTAATTTGTGTTGGGACAACATGAAAAAATTGTGTGGAGCCCATCATTTTTATGTTGATTTGAAAATCTAAGGGTTAATTAAAATCATATTGCATTATATTCTACTAAGCTGTTAAGCTAACGCACCATGAACTATGACAAATAAAGGCATACATTCACAAAGCCGTATCATAATTAAGATCCAAGAGCATGCAGATGTGAATGTCTGATTTCCCCTAGGATATCTTTTTTTTTTTTGCTTCGCTTTAACATGAAGGTCATTAGCTGTTGGTGTCAGCAGGAGAATTGCATGTTCAATTCGCCATGAATAAAATAAACCTTTCAATGTGCTTTTGTCTCTTACTGCAGAATAGGATGATATTTGGCCAAGTTGAAACTATTTAAATCTGGATTCTGAAGGTTAATAAAAATCTAAATATTTCTCCAATTTCTCAATAGAAAATCTCCTCTAAATTTGTCCAAATTAAGTTCTTAGCCATTCATATTACTAAAAAAAACAGTACTGGAAAACACCCATATCATCTCACAATCTCCTCTAAATGTGTCTAAATTAAGTTCTTAGCATTCCATATGACTAAAAAACTAAAATATCTTCATGGAACATGATATGCAAATGAAAAAGGAGTCATATGCACTCTCAAAAAAAAAGGTACAATGTTGTACTAAAGAAGGTACAAACCCTTATCACTGGGGCAGTACCTTTTTATGGAACAGTATTGTACCCTAAGACAAAGAAACCAATTTGTACCATTGCAGTTTGTACCTATAAGGACAGGATTTGTACCATGGAAAACCAAAATGTACTTTTCTTTTTTAAAATTGCAGATACAATATTAAACCTTTATCAAAGGTACAAATCTGATCCATGAAGGTACCACTACAGTGACAAGACACTTTGTACCTTAACAGTGTCAAAATGCTTACCAAACATTTATTTACAATGCCTTAAATGTTTAGTTTACACCTATAGTTTTATGTTTTACCAGTTGTTTTGTAGTATTGCATTATAGAACTTATTTATTAATGTTTACAAGTTTCTTTAAACATATGCTTTTAAATGATGATTCATGTTTTAATACGGAAATTATTCATAAAATCACTTCGCCCTTCCAGTCATATTTATTTTCATAGGTATTGTAATAAAAAATGAGTTGTTCTTTTGTACCTTTTATCCTTCATTTTAATTGTACCATAAAACGCATAGAACAGTATCATAAGAGGTCTTTTCTGTACCATATAAGGTAAAATTTTTGCAAAGGAACATATTTGTTCCTCAAGGAATATTATTTGTGCCAACGTGTACCTTTTTTCTGAGAGTGTTATATTATTGAATATTCAAAATATTCAAAATATACCCGTACAACTTAAGAAAAGTTCTGTTTTCCAGTCATCTCATATCCTGATTATGAGTGTAAATGTCATGATATATAAATAAATATATTTTTATTTAAATTCCATCAAATAATATTCATGCATTCTTTTTCATTTAACTTAGTGCCTTTTTTATCAGTGGCTATGTAACTATTTAACTATTTCGGCATATGTTTTACGCAGCAGATGCCCTTTCAGCCACAACCCAGTACTGAGAAACACCCACACCATCTTGCATACACACACACATACACTAAGGCCAATTTTGTTTACCCAAGTAACCCATATCACATGTCTTTGGACTGTGAGGGAAACCGGAGCACCCGGAGGAAATGCCGACTGGCCCAGTCAGGACTCGAAGCAGCGACCTTCTTGCTGTGAGGTGACAGTGCTAACCACTGAGCCGCCTTGCAGCTTATTCAAATAGTAGCTTAATTGAAATAAAAATACTAATGTAGAAATATATAATAAATAAGGCAACACGGTGGCTCAGTGGTTAGCATTGTTGCCTCACAGCAAGAAGGTCACTGGTTCGAGTCCCAGCTGGGTCAGTTGTCATTTCTGTGTGAAGTTTGTATGTTCTCCCAGTGTACACATGGATTTCCTCTTGGTGCTCTGGTTTTCCCCACAGTCCAAAGACAAGTTGTACAGGTGACTTGTATAAACTAGATTGGCCGTAGTGTATGAGAGTGAATGAGAAAGTGTATGGGTGTTTCCAGCTGGAAGGGCATCTGCTGTGTAAAACATGTGCTGGATAAATTGGCGGTTTATTCCGCAGTGGCAACCCCTGATGAATAAAGGGACTAAGAAAAAGGAATATGAATAAAATATATAATAAATAATTTGATATGAAACACTTTTCACAAAAATGATTACAGGCCCAACAGAAAATGTCAACCCAACATTCAACTTTGAAGCTTGCAACTTTTTCATTATTCAGATATTCACATTTTTGTGGTGGAGTGTAAGATTGTGTTCATTCAAATGATGCAAAAGAACTACCATAAACAATGCATTTTGCAACACCACAAAAAACGACTGAGCAAAATATGAAACTAGATATGTTGTCCATACAATATCTATTGTCATATTGCACAGCCCTAGGAGGACGCATATAAAATGGAATGCAGATCAGAAAAGGAAACATGATTTGGACAAATAAAATCGCATTGCATCATATTATACCAAGCTGTTAAGCTAACTCACCATGAACTATGACAAATAAAGGCGTAGTGTCACAAAACCATATCAGAATTGAGGTCTGAGAGCATGCAGATGTGAATGTCTGATTTCCCCTAGGATATTATTTTTTGCTTCGCTTTAACATGGAGGTCATTAGCTGTTGGTGTCAGCAGGAGAATTGCACTTTCAACTCGCCCGTGAATAAAATAAACCTTTCAGTGTGCTTTTGTGTGTCACTGCAGAAAGCTTCGCTGCACACGCAACTACATCCACACCAACCTGTTTGCCTCATTCATCCTGCGAGCCGTGTCTATCCTCACAAGAGACGCGCTGCTCATGAAAGATGCTCCCGAGTTCAGGGACAACAAAGATGTTTCCATCGTTCTGAGTGACCAGGTAAGCAGGAACACTCAGTCTACTACTGTACTTCCACACTTTTTCATCAAAGGTCAGACAATGTTCTAGTTCACGTAAAATTGATGTTGTAATTTAAATCCGGGGTGGCACGGTGGCTCAGTGGTTAGCACTGTTGCCTCACAACAAGAAGGTCACTAGTTCGAGTCCTGGCTGGGCCAGTTGGCATTTCTGGGTGGAGTTTGTATGTTCTCCCCATGTCTGCATGGGTTTCCTCCGGGTGCTCCGATTTCCCCAACAGTCCAAAGACATGTGGTATAAGTGAATTGGATAAGCTAAATCGGCTGTAGTGTGCGAGTGTGTGTGAATGTGAGAGTGTTTGGGTGTTTCCCAGTGCTGGGTTGCAGCTGGAAGGGATTCTGCTGTGTAAAAAATGTGCTGGATAAGTTGACGGTTCATTCCGCTGTGACAACCCCTGATAAATAAGGAACTAAGCCAAAGGAAAATAAATGAATGAATAAATAATTTAAAACAATGTTAATTTATTAACTATTTTAACACTATTATAACAAGATTGTTAACACTATATGACACTATATATTTGTTTAATATTTAGAGATTAATTAATATTCTATTTTGAAAACCAAATATTCATCTAAGCAGGTTTTTTAAGCATTCCTACATTTATTGTAAATATAAAAATGTTAAGAATACAGTAAACAACAATTACTACTCAATAAAAATGCTCATAGACGATAATGAAAATAATTGACAAAAAAATTATTAGCGATTAATTTGAAAGCATCCGTCATTCATGTCACGTTACAGTATAACAATGCATTTTCATGGGGAAAAATAACACATTTCAAAAATGCATATGACATACTGTATAGCAGAGGACTCAAAGTGAGTTGTTGACAGAATTGCGCATGATCTCATGATTTTAAACATGAGAATTGCATTATAATTAGCACAATGAGTGGTTAAAGGTCCTGTGAAGTGCTTTGAAATGTGCATTTTATTAAATGTATGGCGTATGCTTAACTAAAACATGAAAAGTGGGTGGGACATAGAGTAGCTCCTCCCCTTTTAAATAAACAGCCAAAAGCATTTTGTTTTATCACAGCTCTGCCAGTCAGACTGGTTGAGCTCAAGTGCATCAATTGAAAAGCAAACGAGAACCTTAAAGGGGGCGGGACATGTCAGATACTAGAGAGCATTGGACTGGTCAGAAGATTTGATAAGAAACTGAAGGTACAGTATGAGATAAAAAAAAAAAAAAAAAGATTGATTCATTTAGGCAGAAACGACGACCTGCAAGCTTTGAACGTTTATAACAGGTTTGTATTATTTAAACACAAATTTTGTCACTAGATTATAGAAATCCTTAAAAGTACTAACATCTTAAAATCCTTATTTTAATTTTATATGACCTTTGAGTCACTGTTGTCTTTCTATTGGGGTAAACCAGTCTGGTTACTCTCCTCTGACCTCAGACATCAACAGGACATTTTCACCGACAGAACTGACATTCAGTTGGTTTTTAGGGCATTCTCTGTAAATCTGAGTATCACACTTTACAATAAGGTTCCATTAGATAATGTTTGTAAGATGACATTTCCGTGTCCAAAGATTGGGTCATCCTGACTATGGCCTTCGATCACTGCCTAATCCACAATGCACCAGCCCTTTACGGCTCCTACTGCAGGTGGTGGGTTACATGAGGATGGCCACATCACTCCTTCTAGTGACTGTGATTGGTTGCTTGGGGACAGATCCGGCCATCAGGCGCTCATATGAGCCCCGACCCCACACCTGGATCCAGTGTGAGACCCCAGTTCCGCTATATGGTTCAACGTCATGGTCCTAAATTTTAGTTTACTCATAAGGAGAATAGAATAAATGTTTTATAACGTAATAGTGTCTATTAAATGTGAATAAAGCACATCATCTAAGTATGTTTAAAGATAATTATTATTACTGTGAAGTACATTTATTTCGAACTCTGATCAAAACTGACTGGAACAGCTTTTTACACCTTCAAGCCAATCAGAATCGCAAGAAGAATTTTAACAGACCCTAACAAAAACTAACTGTTTTTTCATTAGCTTTTTAAAAGTGTTCATTAGTTTTCGTGTTAGTAAATATAGCATTAACTAATGGAATCTTATTGTAAAGTGTATCCAACCAGCATAGATGGTTCTGAAATGCTCAGTCCAGATTGTCTGGCTCCGACAACCATGCCACATTCAAAGTCACTTCAATTACCTTTTTTCTTCCTCATTGTAATGCTGTTAGAACTTAGAAATAGATCTTATGAAGCACGTCCACATTCCTAAATGCATTGAGTATCTGCCATGTGATAATTCAAGCATCAAAGCAATCATTAGTTTCGAAGTAAATTTTATTTGCAAACAGATTTTCAGCTGTTTCTTTTTAATAGTGCCTATTTTTGGCTCTTCGGTCAAGCTCACCTTTAATTCCACTAAGCAGTCTGCTCACCATGAGAGCCAGGATTTATTGCATAAACAATGTAATATGCCAATAATGGACCCTTTTCACATTTCCATCATAGTTGGGTACACTTAAGAGTAAAGCGAATGGGAGAGTACCACACAATTTATTTATTTTTTTTTTGCATTCCTATTTGTTCAAGTAATAAAAGAAAAACTCAACTCATAAAAAAATATGTGTGACTGGCATTAGAAATACCTCACACCACCTAAGCAGTAATTCGTGTTTTTTTTTTGTTTTTTTTTTTTATAATTTGATGCAAAGATGATATAATACAAAGTATACTGTAGCTTCATAAATGTACATACACCATAAATGAGTACACTCCTGACAGATCTCTCTTGTACATTCCTATTTTCTACTGCATGCTTTACAACATTATATTAGTGCGTATACATTAGATTTGTCAGTGCCAAAGCCAAAAATGAAAATAATCTAACAAAGAAACTCAAGATCAGTACAAAAAAATGGGTCACACTTTATTTAATGGTCTGTTTGTTAAATTTAAGTTACATTGTATCTGCATACTAACTAATTTTCAGTAGATTATAAATAGACTGTAAGGTTGGGGTTAGGGTTAGTTAGTGTAAGCTGACGTATTTGACATGTACTTGCAAAGTTTCTTATAGTCAATTAAATCTCTGTTGAAAGAGCAGCATCAACAGACATTAAGCAGACAGTCTACTAATACTCAAATGGACCATCAAAATAAAGTGTTACCCAAAAATTACTACACCCAAATTAATATGTAGGTGAAAAATATTACATACAATTTTCAGAAACACGAAAAATCAAGAGAAACATACAAAATATACAATTGTATAGTATGTTTTTTTTAATAGCTTATATGTGTTTAAATGTATTATTTTTCAATGTTTAAAGATGTTTGGTGACCAAACTCTTATTTTATTTGACATAACTCTTTAATAAAACAATTTTGTTTAATTGCATGAAAATGTATTGCCTATATTCACTGATAAATAAATAAACATATTCATTTTTAAAGCATGGTGTACTCATTTCTGCTTAGCACTGTATGCTTTTTTAAAAATCAAACCATTCAAATCTTTCAAGGGTTTAAGTTGCTGATGACCATTAAACACATGTTAACCTCTGTCCATAGCACAATAAAAGCAATGTCCAATAAAATAAACTATTAAACGCACCTTAAATCCTCACAGGTGATGTCAGGCTGCCGTGTGGCTCAGGTCCTGATGCAGTACTGTGTCGGCGCCAACTACTACTGGCTTCTGGTGGAAGGTTTATATCTCCACAACCTGCTGGTGCTGATGGTCTTCTCAGAGAACAGTTACATTTGTGTATACTTCTTCATCGGCTGGGGTGTGTAACTGTCATCAAGCTGTCCTGAAAAGAGAGTATACCTGAGGGTGAGTAACTTTTCATTTTTGGGTGAACTATCCTTTTAAGACTAATAGTTCACTCAAAAAAATCTAAAGTTACTCACACTCCAGTGGTTCCAAACTTGAGTTTTTTAAATTCTGCTTAACCCAAAAGAAGATATTTTGATGATTGTTGGAAACTTGTAGACCAGCCGATTCGAATGTTATCACTCAATTGAATTGGCATTATCAGTGGTTATCAGCTGATATATATGGGCCAGTAGGGGCCTTATCTTCTGTTAGCGGTTGTTATCATCCATCCACATGGTTAATCAGCTATAGATCACATACAGCTGTGGCCGGAAGTTAACGAGAATTATTTATATTATTTATAAAATTTTCCATTCATTTTATTTTATTAACGTCTACCCCTACCTCTACCCCAACCCTAAACCCAACCGGCCCAGTAAAGTAAAAACACATCTGAATCTAGAGTCTTCTCTGTTAGTATGATTTACCATGTGGATGAATGATAACTACTGGTCTACTAGCCCATATCCATCAGCTGATAACCACTGATAACGGCCATTCAATCAAGTAATAACATTCAAAGAAGGTGGGTGGACATCGGCTGTTTCTAAATTCCAAGAACGCAGAGAACGGACTTGAGAAATGAGATGTTGCTTTCTTCCTGATGGTCACATGACCTTCATGCGTTTTTAATGGAAAATTATTTAAATATTACAGCACTCATACAACAATTTTTTCCCCTTTTCAAAATATATACTGTGCATAAAGACTTTACAAATATACGTTGCACAAAATAAATAAAACAGATTTTAATACGAATTTCAGCAAATAAACACCCTTAATGTGTTTATTCCTTTATAAAAAAAATTTCATGGTAATGTTTATATTCACCGTTTCATTTAGGGAAACTACTGAGATAAATAAGTTATATCTCTGAATTTTAATAATAAATCAAAGTAAAATGATGTGCTTCACACCTCCAGTCACAATGACTTCTAAAGCGAGTTCAGTGCACAAGTCTGCATCGGTGCGGCCTCGATATCGAGAAGTTTCACGCTTCCTCCGTTCTTGTGGTCTTTGATATTGGAACTAAACTTTGGAGGTTGATAATGACGTTACACGAGAAGACGCAAGATCGCTGAAGAACGCATATTGAGAAACATACATAGTAGGAAAAAATACTATGGAAGTCATTGGCTGCCAGTTCCCAACATTCTTAAAAATATCTTCTTTTGTTTTCAACAGAAGAATAAAACTCAAACAGGCTTGGAAAAATAGGATGATGACTATGAATCAAATGTAATTAAATCAATTAAATAAACTGTTAGCTCGTAGTACCACAGCTGAATTGTTATTATTATTTAAACAAAGTCAAGTTTGAATGAACATGCACAAATATGGTGTTTGATCTGATGTTTTCTGACAGGAACGCCTGTGCTCTTTGTGGTGCCTTGGATAATTGTTCGTTACTTGTATGAAAACACAAGGTAAGATTTGCCAATGCTTTATGCAACAGCTTTCTTTCTTTTGATTAAAGATTAATTGTGCCTAACATCTCCAGGTGCTGGGAGATCAATGAAAATATGGCATATTGGTGGATCATCCGAACGCCAATTCTTTTGGCTATTTTAGTGAGTTTTTGCTGTATTTACTTCAGTCTGCCTTCAATTTTAATTTGTATTTATGTATTTGAAGTTCTGATTGATTTAACGACTTGGAATTCTCTCACTCCGTTTGAAAGGAAGCAATGGAGTTTTTGTTTTAATTGCCACCATCTTTTAAAAAGATGTCAAATGGCGTTTCTCATTAAAACCTGAGATGAAAGATCTGCCGAACTCTTCAAGCAGGATTTCTTTCCAGTGGTTATTTTGAGTGCAAGTTGAGAGAATTCCAAGTCCCGAGTCGTCTGGAACACAACGTATGAATAAGCAGTTAAATATACTCTCACTCATGTATTATACATGGATGACTCATTAGCCCAAATCATCCTCTAGGAAGTTTTTCTGCACTTTTTGCAAATTATTGTGAACATACAGTATAAGTCACCATCAGCTAAGAGAATTTAGTGAAGTATTACTGAATCATAGTTTGAAGAATGGAATAATATTGTAAGAAGAAATCTTTACGTTGTGTTTTCTACATGTAGTTATTTATATATGAGTTTGAAAATGATCCTATTTTGCAGGTGAACTTTTTCATATTTATACGGATTATTCTGATCCTCATCTCCAAATTAAAAGCACATCAGATGAGATATACAGATTATAAATTTAGGTAAGAATTTGAGTTTCCTTAAATATTTGAGATTCTTTGGTTTAATAATGAAATGTCTTGTTTGTTTGTTCATTGTGTACTCTTTTTTGCTCCATAACCTTAAAGATTATTAGAATATTTTCATGAATATTTATTTTGAAAATATTACTATTATCAGAATAGTTTTGCCTTTGATACTGACTAATTTAATGCAAAACCAAAAAACCAGATTTACACAAGTATCTAATTTGCTTTTCCTGAAAAAACTGTCAAGGTGTACTCATTGCTGCTGGTAAATGTATTCCTCCCAGCATCTGTTTACAGATTTGCTTATAATAGTGTAAAAAAATGCTGCTTAAAACAACCAACCTCTCTTACTGTAGTTTTCCCTTGTGCCAGCAAAATCTATATCTCTGAATTCATCCTTGTTGCGTAACTAGAAGTGTGTCACGCAAAGCTTTTGATGTTTCAACCTTTTTAAAGGAAATGTTTCGTCCTCTTCTTCAAATGTCAGCCTTAAGGCCAGCGTTCATTTTAGAGAACATTTCTTTCCCTGGCAGAGACGATATTTCTAGCCCTGAAGCATAAATCCTGTTTAAGTGGAATAAAATCTAACATTACAGTTGTGACAATGATAGAGGCTAATTAGATTCTTGCTTTACCCTCAGTGCCTTGCTATTGTCATTTAATCTTCCTTTAAAAATGCCAATTTAAAAAGCGTTTGATTTTTTTTTTTTATCTGAAAGTATTGGTATTAATTCTAAAAACAACTACAAAATAAATGAACTGCAGATTTGTAATTAAACTTACAAATGATGATGAGATTTTGAGATGTTATGGGTCAGGGTTTTTTTTCTGAAAAATTGATGACTTGAATATTCTTGGTGTTTCAGATTAGCCAAGTCCACACTGACCCTCATTCCCCTGTTAGGGATTCATGAGGTGGTTTTTGCAGTGATGACAGAGGAACAGACTGAAGGAGTACTTCGCAATGTCAACCTGTTCTTTGAACTCTTCTTCAATTCTTTTCAGGTACAACTTAGTGAATCAAGAGAGACAGACCGTGTCACAACATGGCCTAGTTACTGCTTTACTTGTTTTCCATCGCACATTATTTTGATGTAGTGTATGTCCATATAGTTAATGCGGTTTGACACATGTGCTCTCGTTGCTCCTCAGGGTTTTCTGGTGGCCATATTATACTGCTTTGTCAATAAAGAGGTAAGAGGTGTCAATATGTTTTTATATTTTATACATATATTTTTAATAGTATTTCGGTACTGAAACTAAAATAACATTGTTTAACATTGTATTGAATTTTCAGTATTATTACTCCAGTCCATGATCCTTCACAAATCATTCAAATATGTTGATTGGCTGTTGTACTATGATTGTAATCAAACATTAATTATCATTTGTATATTTTCATTCATTCGTTTTCATTTTTGGCTCAGTCCCTTTATTAATCTGGGGTCGCCACAGCGGAATGAACCGTCAACTTATCCAGCATACAGTTGAAGTCAGAATTATTAGCCCCCGTTTGAATTTCTTTTTAAAATATTTCTCAAATGATGTTTAACAGAGCAAAGAAAATTTCAAAGTATGTCTGATAATATTTTGTCTTCTGGAGAAAGTCTTATTTGTTTTAATTCGCCTAGAATAAAAGCAATTTTTAATTTTTTAAATACTGTTTTAAGGACAAAATTATTAGCCCCTTTAGGCATTTTTTTTTTCAATAGTCTACAGAACAAACCAGCGTTATATACTAACATACCTAATTACCCTAACCTGCCCAGTTAACTTAACTGTAATTAACCCAGTTAAGCCTTTAAATGTCACTTTAAGCTGTATAGAAGTGTCTTAAAAAATATCTAGTAAAATATTATTTACTGTCATCATTCATTCATTTTCTTGTCGGCCTAGTCCCTTTATTAATACAGGGTCACCACAGCAGAATGAACCGCCAATTTATCCGGCAAGTCTTTTTTTTTCCCCCTTCCAGCTGCAACCCATCTCTGGGAAACATCCACATACACACTCATACACTACGGACAATTTAGCCTACCTAATTCACCTGTACCGCATGTCTTTGGACTGTGGGGGAAACCGGAGCACCCAGAGGAAACCCAAGCGAAGGCAGGGAGAACATGCAAACTCCACACAGAAACGCCAACTAAGCCGAGGTTCGAACCAGCAACCCAGCGACCTTCTTGCTGTGAGGCGACAGCACTACCTACTGCGCCACTGCCTCACCCTACTGTCATCATGGCAAAGATAAAACTAGACATTAGTTATTAAAACTATTATGTTAAGAAATGTGTTGAAAAAATATTCTCTCTGTTAAACATAAAACGTGGAAAAAATAAATAGGGGGCTAATAATTCAGGGGGGGGCTAATAATTCTGCAACCCATCACTGGGAAACTCTCATTCCCGCACAAATACTTCGGATAATTTTAGCTTTTCCAGTTCACTTTTACCGCATGTATTTGGACTTGTGAATAGTCTTTTACAGTTATCATAACTTTTGATTGCATTACTCATTAAATAAATGCAGCCTTATGTTTTTAATGGTTAAACTATTTAAAGCATTGTGTTAATTTATACAAAGACCAATTAATTATTGAAACAAAAAGTTTCTATATGTTATTATCTAATGTGTCTGAGGTAACACAGACTAACAAGGAACCGTTTTCATTAACTTATCTTTACATTGTTCCCTTTGTTTAAATGTTATTTTATTTTTGTTTAATTCAGAAAGAAAATTCTGCTATGAACTCATCTTAATGTTGAGCCATCGACTTTTTAAATCTAATCTGAGAGATTTCTGCCCTCCATTGAAAGTCTGTACAATTTCTAATACTTTGAAACATGCATAAAACCAAAACTCCCTATGAATCAAGCTGTTTATTGCAAAACTCCGCAAAAGAACTCCATTTTAGTTCACAAATAAACATTGGTCAGCAAACATAAACACAAGCCCAGAGTTTCTGAGTTCAGAGCTTAGAGATCTGCTTGATGCACAAGAACAAATCTTATTTGTGGAAGCTCAAACAGCACAAAACACAATAAACCTGATTGGTATTCATGCATCAAGCAAGCATGAGCGTCTATGACCAAGTCTGAATGCTGTAAACACAGTTTGCTGATCAAAGTTTAAACATTAGTAAAAGCCTAAATTAAATCTTAGAAATTGTTCCGTAGTTCATGTTTATGAATATTTTGAAAGTCACATTTTTAAGTGAACAGACTATCAATGGAGGAACGGAAATGTCAAAAAGTCTTGACCGAATACCTTCTGGTACAACATAAGGGTGAGTGAATTTACATCTTGTATTGAAATAATCTTTGGCTAATCTGCTATTTTTATATATTCCTTGGGTCCAGGTACAGTCGGAAATCAAAAAGAAATGGCAGCGATGGAAACTGGGAATAAGTATTTTGGATGACCAGCGTAACACAGGTAGCAACACTCAGCCAGTAGGAACCGGTCCTCAATGTCACCATGACCCGGCCTGCTCTCCCGAATGCCCCCTGGACAGTGGCAGCCAGCTGTCCTCAGATCCAACACCCTCCATCCAACACCACTACCATCCTGGAGCAAAGAAAGGCAAGGCGTACTGCTATATATCTGCCCGAAAGCAGGTCGTCAATGGGTTGGATGTGCCAGCTTTACCGCAGTGTGGTGGAGAAGGAGCAGGCATGTATTCCGAGAGCTACTGCTGAACATGACTTGGTCTTTTTATTATTGAAAGGATATTCCCACATCACATTATTCATGTTACGTCTGGCAACCCTTTTTTTTTTTTGTCTTTGATATTTACCACTATACCTCATTTTGGACACCAGATTCATTTTGTTATGTGCCAACATTATGGATCAGTGTGTACATTACCACAAATTTGAACTTATATTTAAGTGCATGTAGATTATTTGTTGGACGCTCACAGGTAAGGCACGCAAACATCATATTGCCTGCAAAATCAACTAAATAATCAGCAGTACAAGTATTTTGCCTTTTTCACCCCACATCCATAAATGGTCAAAGATTTGGAGTCAGTAAGATATAACAATAATAACAAAACAGATTACATTGTTACAGAAAAAAAACTAAATCAAAGAAATACTTTTTTTATTTAAAAAAAACAAACATTTTTTATGAGTGCCAAATCGGCATATTAGAAAGAATTTTTAAAGGATCATGTGACAAAAAAATTCAGTAATGACTAAAAATGATCAGCTTTTTGCCATTACATGAGAGAAAATAACTAATATCCCTTCAAGCACCAATAGCTTTCTCCAAAAAATTAAAAGTGACTTTTTTCATCAATAGAACATTAAGGAGAAGTTTAAGTTGAAACTGTGATCCTTGCTGACTGATAAAAAAATAAATACTTTGAGACTCAAAACCAGTGGCTCCTGTTAATAAAATTAGAGGCACAATGTAATTTTTTTCTATTAGAAAAAAATGTGTAGTTTGATGACCCTGTGTCTGAGTGTGGAATCATGGGGGTTGTGGTCTTTATTACATCCTACAGCACTCGTGAATAAATCATGTTTATTGGTGAGCTAAATCAGTGGTTCTCAACTGCTTTTTCCATGGGACCTACATTTTTACATGTTCATCAAGCGACAACCCAAATTTTTAGGAGCTATGGTAAAATTTTAGGAACTCTAATTCAATTGTATTTATTTGTTAATAGTGACAGATAAATCATAAGAAAATCACCAAGACTTACAAATAAACAATATTTCATTGCTGTCATTTAGCAAAGTGTATCAAATTAAAGAAATATTACAAAGTAAAAACGTCAAATACTGTAAACAGTGGTTAGGGTAAGGAAAAGTTATTTACCATTAACTAAACTGAACTGTTAAAAAAACATTAACACTGATCCTGTTGAACAGAAAAAACAGCAAATTAAAGTAAAATTATTAAAATAATCATGACCATTTTTATAATAATCACCAGTTATTTGCTCTTCTACTATTGTATGGGCTTTCTTGGCCTTAGCTACACTGTGAGCACAGTAAGATGCGCAGAGTGCCTGCACTTGTTTTGAACATGAAGATGTTAGGCACTTTTTGTGATGCCCTCAGTTATTGAAGTCTTCTTTGAAAATAGTCCACAGGTTTGTCCTTGCAACTTGGATGTTCTAAATGTCGTTTTAATTTAGAAGGTTTTATGTTCTCTTGTGAGAGCACCTCACTACGGATGACACACTGAGGTTTGAAACCTTTTTGTCATCAATATATATAAGTATATAAGTCCATACTTTACATATTGGGGGTCGTATTTGCGCTTCCACATATTTGTTGCTAAAATTAAATGAAATTTCACATGTCAAATGGTCTGGTTGTCATGCGCGCATTTCAAAATTAAAGTCTGATATAAGCAAAATAAGCAAGAAAATTTAATTTTGTTGTTTTTTTTTTTTGACGACACACTCTACGACCCACTGAAAATGTTTCCCACCAGTTGAGAAACACTGAGCTAAATTATTCAAAACTTATTATCATGGTAGTATGAAGCAGACTAAGGCTGAAAGCCATTGAAATGTCATGAGACATTTCTGCAACTGCTGATGACAGACAAACGCGATATGATTCAAAACCAACATAGGCGCATTCTGAAAACCTAGCCCTATATACATTTCTGGAGATCAAGAATTATGTAAGCAGAAGTAAGTATGGTTGCATTTCATCTTTAAAATGAATGTTACTTGGCAGTATGATGCTGTTCCTTTTCCTGCTTAACAGCTGACCGCTTACTTCCATATGATCGACTTTTTCTGCTGTTACCAGTTTGTCCAGTAGCTTGATACGTACAGTGGATTTGAGATGCAGAGCGGAGTTGACCGCATCATTGCGGGTAAGACAAAAACAAATAAATTAAAAATAAATTAAACAAATAAATAACAGGATGAGAATGTGGTAAAATCTGAAAACGGAGTAATAATTAGGGGGCTTTTTTTTCTCTGGATAGCTTTTTTTTTAAAAAACACTCTGATTGGATTGAGTGAAGGGGGTTTGTGGGTCAATCGGTGCTTTCAGTCAGCAAGTCAGTCAGTCGACAGCAGCCTCTAGTGGGTTTACTAGAACAGCAAGCATGAATGGCACTCGTGAGAGAAATTTAAGATCTGAAAAGGCATACACAGCAGACTCTGGTGGATTCAGGAAAACTAAAACTGCAAAAAAATGTACCTCCTCCTGGGACATATTTTGCTTTCTCCAGAAATGTATATAAGGGTATAAGCAGAATGAGCCTGGGTTGCTCAAAACAGCGAGCTATATTATTTCACAGTCGACTGCTTCCGGTTCTTCATGATCACATGGGGAAAGCAATGTTGTTTTATCAAACTAAATACATCCTCTGTGCAGTCCAATCAAATACACAACTTAGTGAAGCATCTTGGGTGTTTCCGTCTTTTCTCTAAAACCAAACTGCAAATCGAGTTTGTGTCACTAAATAAAATTGCTTAATGATTTGAACATTTCTCAAAACATTTGGGATAATGTACAAAAGTCAGCAAAATATATGAGACTGTTCTAGTATTTTTTTTCTGAACCACTAAGGACCACAGTTTCAACTAAGAAAGGCTCTAATGTTTATGTTTATCTGAAGAAAACTTCATCCGATTACATTAAATTTTTTTTATTGTGAATTATAGGCTCAATGAAATTAAACGTATATGATGTCCACATCAGCACTAGCCTGAAGTTCCTCTCACATTATACAGCGAAGTGAAGTCCATCCTCAGCCTGATATAAGTGCCTCTGGAGGTGTTAAATGTCTAATGTCAAGGTTTTAAATGGCTGTTATGCAACCCGCTCAAACAGGACTACATGCTCAAGGCGATCTGTTAAACAGCAGGAAATCTAATTCCTTTTTTATGCTTTTGCATTCCACTCGAAAGCCTAATCCAGCCTCATTCAGTGCCATGACAGGAACCAACTGTGAACTGTATGTCTACAACAGAGTTTCAAGAGGATTAGTAGATCATTTAGTTAATAGGCAACAGTAACAACATTATTAAACATGGAAAGAGTTTGCTTCCAAAACCTTATGAAGGCTTAATTCTGTTTGTTTTGAAACACTATTTCAGTAGACTCGTTTTTTTCTACCAACATGAATGGAAGAGTGCAATAATAATAATAGTGATATGATATCTATGTAGTTTATGAAGTGTCACTGTGATTTTTATTCAATATATCAAGTCATTTCTAAATGTATTTATCAAGTGAAGGTGGTTGTTTTATTGCTTTCACACTGAGGTTGTTTTTAGTTTCATTGACGTCTAAAGCCACCTGGCGGATGGAGTAAGAATTGCACAGATGTGTTGTCCCTTGTAGAAATCTAATAGCAACTGCTAAATGGCATTAACCGAGTGCAAAGAGTCTTTATAGATTTGTCAAATTCGGTATGATGTTGTTATTGTTGAACCTTAGTTAGGATTATCTGGTTCTGATGAAGCCACTGTAAAATATCCATAGTAATTACCTTTATATCATTTGGCCTGTAGCTTAGCAAACTAAAAGTTGTTCTCTCACACAAGGTTTTACATTTAAAGATGCAGGGCAGTGGAAAAATGGTCACAGTAAAATTTAAAGATGTAAATTGACGTCTAATTGTAGGCTATTTATGGATGGACACAAAAGCAAATTATTTTGAGAGTGTTTGTCAGGTGTGTAGACACGTGATTTATAGAACGCCGCAGGTATCTCATGGCTGTATACCACTATATACAATGTACACGCCCCAATTCCCCTTATTCACTATTCCCTAGTTCTATAATTTAGCTCACTTAAAAGTGTGAATGAAAAAGTGTGAAAGTGCGCCGGAAAGGATGCCGTTTTGTGCTTTGCTGATTGACAAATCTCTCAAATTGAATTTGTACACTTCCTGGTCAGATTGTATTTTGATTTCTGTCATGTGTAAAAACGTGCATTTAACGAATAAATAATTTATTTTGGAACTTACGTGTAGGATTCCGCTGTGGATACCAGCTTGTGGTCAGACGCTGAAATTCATTTTGCGCGCGAACTCTCCACTAGAAATGACTGCATGCTCCCTTTAAATCGCACACAATTTAAGGCTATGAGTCGATTTTAGATACAGCCCTTGTTTCAATGGTATTCATTATTTGAAGGAATTTCATATGTGCATTCACTAAATAATAGCTACAAATTTAGAAAACTGCCAGTAGACATATAAATTTAAATATATATTTTAATAACATTTTTATTAACCGTTTTATAAATAGGCTATTATATTAAGGGGTCATATTTATATTTAATAATGAATAATATTTCCTGATAGGGCGACACAGTGGCTCAGTGGCCCCTACAATTCAAAGAAATGCTGTATAAGTGAATTGAATGAGCTAAATTGGCCGTAGTGTATGAGTGTGTGTGATTGCAAAACTGTATGGGTGTTTCCCAGTGCTGGGGTGTGGGCAGAAGGGCATCTGCTGTGTAAAACATATGCTGTATGAGTTGGCGATTCATTCCGCTGTGGGCACCCCTGATGAATAAAAGGACTAAGCCAAAAAATGAATGAATGATGTTCCCTGTTGTCCACACATGTAAACAAGAAGACGGTTTCAGTTTTTGGTACCACTTTGGATAGACATGCTACATTCAAGACTTAAAAAGTACTGACATAATTGGGAAACATATACATATTAAAATGCATAGAGGCTTCTATGATGTTGGCTGATTTGCTTATAGGTTGTTTGGTTAAAAACAAACATTGAATGCAAATGATCTGATACATTATTGCGTTATTCATAATTGTATTGCAGCATTACTGTCAGATCTACTCAGCACTGTGTCATATTTTATTTTAAGTCTTCTAAAAAAACCTAAAATAATCTCTAAACTTTGCTTTTTTTAATTCCTCTGCCTTGCATCTTGCATATTTAAACACAACCATGTTCAATGTGATTTACTCCTATGTGTGAAAAAACAAAGCACTGTGCTGACAGACTTCGACTGAATTATTTGTAAAAGTGCCATTAATATTGTACAGTATCTCATGGCTTCAAAACATTCCACAGACTTGATACGCCTAAGCATTAAGCCACTGGATAGCATGTATTAAAAGCTGTAATTCATCAGAAAGACAACATACAAAGCAGAAAGTGAGTTAACTGACTCGGACATATACATGCTAAATATCAATGTTGTATTTGCCAAATAAGAAAAAAAATACTTGTGCAATATCATTTTGGACACAAGCTATTTATTTCCATTAAAGCATCAAACTGAAATAAGAGTATGTTGAATGCTTTATTTTCTTTTTATTTCGTGGGAATTGTGTAGCACTAGTAAGGCAAGCAGCCAAACTGCAATTTCGTCACCTTGGAACTATAAGGTTCTATCTGCGTTCTGAATGATTTTGAGATATTGAGCTTTAAAGTTTTTGCATTCCATTGCAAACAGTATGTGTGTAACATTTTTTATTTAATAAAAAGTCTTACAATCAAAAAAATAAAAAGAATTAAAAGAATATGTCAATAACTCAATTTTGACAAAAATGTCAGATAGAACATTATTATTCTATGGTGACGAA